CACACACACACACTTGTCTTTAGGGTCATTAAAGTATTAGGTTTGACTGTACTGACCGGAAACATCTCTCTCTAATTAAAGATTTAAATGCTACTATCTAACTGAATTGAAAAAAATGTTTGCTGATTAGAATAAACATAAACAGTGCTTTATTCCCAACATTTTGTGTAGTTTGAGTACAGCTGTTACTGAATTCAATCTGTAGTCATAAATTCTTTTAAATCCCCAGATAGGCAGAAAGTATTCCTCACTCCCAAAATATCTCACAGCAGCTATGCTGTTTATTTAGCTGAGGATTTCAGCTCTGAATGCACTGTGACTCTCTCTTGTGGAGTCTAATCATTACAGCACCATGGACATATATTTGTTATGGAAATGATTGTAGGAAGTGTCAAATCAAGTAACAGAAAAGAAGCTGAAGTGTAAGTTACTAGTTCTTTTAACATATTATTACACTGACTTGTGTACTAAAGCCATACTTATAAAGACACCATCCTTGTTTTCTTGTAAAATCATCAGTCTGTAGACTCAGAGTACACACGATTTATTACCAAACTCCAGTAATAATACACTGATAAAGATGTTTCATATCTGTCAGCGTAGGTGTGAAATATTTGGTTTGGCTGCCTTTTAGGTCGTCGTCAGATGGAGTGCAGGGTTCAGCCAGCGTACTCTGATAATGAGATAAAAACAAACTCCACCTGCAGCTAATAAAACTATTATTTCTCTGATGGGTTCAATTTTAACAGCAACATTTCTAGGTTTCCTACATTAATACAAAAAAGAAAGTGTTTGGAAATGATAAGAATCACAGAAACAAACAGTCAAAAACTTTAATAATAATAATAATAATATGCATTGATCAGAATTAGAAGCTTGTTTATTTACTGACTTTATATTTTGTTGAGCAGGTTAAATTATAAAATTGTAGTTTAGTTTTATCAAGTTTCTTTACAGAAGCCAATAACAACTTTACCTTCTATTATTATTATTTTCTTAAGAATAAAGCTTGTTTATCTTGAGATAAAATATTTGTCTAATGGTCGTCATAAACAAAGCTTGTTTGGATGAATATGGTGAAAAAATGAACAATTTGTTTGTTCTGTAATTTTGAAACTATTTTTACTTTACTTTTCTAACTTGAACTAAATGATTAACCTGTTTTACTTATTTTTTTATAAAATTAGTTTATTAAATTATCTTGAGAAGCAGAGTCATTATTTCAAGTTATGAAGAACAGTTAGTCATTTTTTCAAGATATTGACATAAAAATGCACTTCTTTAATCACCTTTTATTCTGAATCTTTGGAAGGTGGGTGACATTCTTTTCAAAGCTCCATTTTTTTTCTATCTGATGGGAGAAAATGGCCACAAATTGAAATGAAACCTCATGTTAATATTATGGGCTGTGGATGGGCTCGGGGCTTGGATGGTTGCCAGGGGCGGGGCTGGCTCTCCATCCTCCCTGGTGCTGCTTGGTCTCCTGAGGTGTGGCTCTTGGTTCCTGTGGGTGGACCCCTGGCCGGGGTGGCTGCCGGGTTCCGGGGGGTGGACGGGTGGGGGGGGTGCACTTGGTCGTTGGCGGTGTGGTGGGGTGGTGTAGTGTCCAAAGAGTGGGGGTTTGTCTAAGGAATGTACACGTGTGGTTCATCAGCCATTCAGCTTCAGCGTTCCACATACATCACCATTTTAGGACAACGTTTGAGGTACACCGTGATTTATGTATGCCTGCTTGCTTAAAGACCTCTGTACACCCCCAACTTTGGCCTTTCTTTCTCCTACTTTCTTACTGGAGAATCGTTTGGCTGAAGGCCATAATTTGATCTTAGGCTGTATTCTTGATCAGCAGAAATAAAGTTGCTTGCTGTTCAAACCAGCCTGAATCCAGAGTCATTTTTATCCGAGATCAACAACAGTTCAATTTTGGACAAGAAGAAGTGATTTTTTTCACCTCAGTGGTCATGGGTGTGGCTTCTCTGCGACGGGGGGCTGGCCGGGCATCCTGGTGCGGCCCGGGCCGGGCCTTGGCTATCTGCTCCTCTCCACCTCAGAATGATTGGGTCTACCTCCTGGGTTTGGGTGTGTGCTGCCTCCAATAGGGGGTGGGTGCATGTCCTGGACCTGGGGGGGTATAGAGTGTGTATTGGGGGTATGAGTGGAATGTGGCATCCTTGTATGTCTTTGATAGAGTGGGGGTGAGGATGAGGGTGGGATGGTGCGATTGTGTATGTGTATGTTTGGGTATTTGTCAGGCTGCGGTCTGGGCTGCCCCTCCTGCTAGTTTATCTGGGGGCCCGCTGCTACTCGGCCCCCGGTGGGGTGTGCGGCTGGCCGCCGACATGCTGGGGGTTCCCGGGGTCTGGGGCTGGGCGCTGGGGTGTGTGCCGGCCTGGCCTGGTGACTGCCTGCTGGGGCTCGGGACCTCTGGCCCTGTCGGGTTTTGGCCTGGAGGGGGTGCGCCCTGGGGGCCCGGACCTCTGTGCCCTTTCCTGGATCTGCTTTGGTATGGCGCGTGCCGGTGGGGCCCATGAGTTTGTCGCTGCTAGCCCTGGGGGCTGTGCGTGTGGTCGCTGGGGGGATTCTCCCAGTTCTCTCCTATGGTCTGATCTGGGGGGTGGGTGGGCGGATCTTCCTGTGCGGGTGCCCCTTGGGGCTCTGTGCTCGGGATTCCTCTCGGGCCCTTGGGCTCTGGTCTTCCCTATGTCTGCCTGGTGTCTTGGGGGTTGGGTCTCGGTCCTCCACAGTCACTATTAAATATTCCATTGGAGAAATCTTGTATATACACACATGTTCACAACTGCTCACAGACAGGTGTTCTGATCCGGGGGTTCTGACTGGTCACTGAGTGTGTATACGTGTCTGTGTGTATATACTGACAATATTTATGAATGTAGGCATGTATGTATGTATATCTTTATATATGTATGAGTATGTGTATATATTTATATATGCCCTCCATGTATTTATCCATTTATTTTTCAGGTGAGCGGACAGATGTTGGGTGTGTGGTCCTGTGTTTTGTTGGTGTATATTTAATATACTTCTAATCGCTATTTCAATCTTTCTAATTACTTCTCCCTCTGTTTTTCTCTCTGTCTCTATTTTCTCTTCACTTAAAAAAGTCACTGATGATGAAGAAATAAATAAACTAAAAAAATTATAAACACGTATTCTAACATAGAACTCAACATTGTTTACCATATAATAAAAGTTGTCCTCAAAAATGGCAGATTTTAGACATTTCTAGCCCACTTCCCTAGCCTTGTTTCAATGATGTTGTGGAATCAATTTATTTCTGGAAACAAATCCTGTGAGCTAACACCTGAAACACCTGAAATATTTGAAACTCCTGAAACACCCGAAACACCTGAAACATCTGAAACACCTGAAACATTTGAAACACCTGAAAATCTAAAACAGCTAAAACATCTAAAACACCTGAAACACCTGAAATACCTTAAACATCCGAAACACCTGAAACATAAAATATCTGAAACACCAGAAAGCTTTGAAACACCTAAAACATCTGAAACATTGAAAACACTTGAAACCTTTGTAATATCTGAAACATTTCAGTTAAAGCACTGGAAACACCTGAAACACCTAAAACACCTGAAACAATCTAAACACCAGAAACAGGTGGCATTAACTCTTTGACAAGTTTGCTATTTGTTTCGTAACTCATTGTGTTTTATTGCTAATTGTTAAAAAAACCCTATCCACTAAACAATGTAATTATTGTGCCCATTTTAAACATAGCTGTTAATTTTTGATAAGATTTTTTCATGACTTTTTTTAATCCTGATTTTCATGAATTTATTTCAAGTTTATTTTTGCATGATAATATGAAGATTGAGATAACTCGAGAACTGTTTTGGTCCTCAGGCCTTCATTTACTCATGTTTGGTCCAGGATATAAATGATGTATGAACATGTATTTTGTACTTGTACATACATACAGCGCCTGTGTGATCAAAGTTTATTGAAACATTGAAGCAATTCTTCTTCTCAGCAGGCTACAAGTTTAAGATGTGGTAATATTTAAACAATACAAGGAAAGCAGATTTAAAGAAACATTTATTAGTTATACACTATTCACTTCACTGTTATAATAAGTCAAAAAATGTTTTTATTGAAAGTAACCAAACAGCACACACTTGGCTTCCACTGCCACCTCAGAAAACTCAGTGATCCCCAGCGTCTCCCCTAAATGACACAAATTTAATGTACAGATGAGCAAAAAAGAAAAAACTAAACAAAACAAATGTTTTTACACTTGGCAACAAAGAAATAAATATAGAAAATATACAACATGTATTCTGAAATGTGATGTATATAAAATGTAATGCCCAGGAGTACCATGTTAAAACTGACTTTGGCTGTTTATTTCAGCCTGCTCTTTCATTGTGTTTAACTGGTTTTCTCTCTCCTTGGCAGCAGAGCCAAATGACTGATAACAAGTAGAGCCCAAAACAGGCCAGAAAATCATAATGATAAGCCGTGACTAAAAATATCACTAATAAGGTGGCATATAACAGTGCTTGTGCTTTAGAGACACTGCAGCAGGAAATCATCCCTCTCCACCTCCAAACACTTTGGCTGCTTTTGTCCTGTCCACTTGTCTCTGCTGTCTGCGTACCGCCAGGCTTTTCCTGAGGGCAACTGAGCAGGACGTCTTCATCCAGAGACTCACTGATGGGGGGCATGGTGGTGGGTGGTAGTTTGCCTCTGGTCACAATGAAGCCTGCCTCTTTGGCTTTTTTCTTCTGGGCCTGCGTTGGCGCACCGGTGGTCCTCAGGCAGTGCATGTACAGCCCCACCTCGTCGTCGTCTGAGTCGGACTCTGCTGAGCTGCTGCTGTGACTCATCTGGTCGGGTTCATCTGTTAAAACGGTCTCTAAAGTGAGGGGTTCCACTGAGCAATCACAGGTGGCATGTTCGGAACGACAGGTGTCGGTCTGGATCCAGGCCCCTTCCCTTGTGTTTTCTTTGATGAACTGCAGCTCGTTGCTCAGCAGAGCAGATAAATTATCTTCAGCCTTGCCTTCTGCCAAGTTTGACCCCACTTCATCTCCTCTGCCATCTGCTGACATGTAGTCTGTTTCCATATCTGCTGGGATTTCATCCCTGTAATCTCTGTCTTCCTGCTGAGGCTCTGTTCGATTCTCCTGCTCCTCACCTGCTTCACCATCGCAGTTCATGACCATCTCCTCTTCTTCTCTGATGCTTTTCTTTTCAGGGCTGACCAGCTGCATCTCTGTTTCTGTTTCATCTTCAGCATTTTTCTTTTCCTGAAAGACTCTAACATCCTCTAATCCAGAGTCTTCATTGACTAAAATCTCTGCAGTCTTGAACTCACTGTTATCTGTCACTGCCATGATGTCCACCTCGTCCCCTTTCACTTCATCAGCCGCCCCCTCCTTAACTAATTTCTCTTCATTTCTCTCTGAAATATCTTTGTCCACTACTTTCTTGTCCTTTGTTATGGATTTTAGCAGCCCACCTTCCTCTTCATCTGTCTGTGTGCTATTTTCCTCCTCTTCAAACATTGTTTCCCAGTTTTTCATCTCAGCATTGTTTTCTAAAAAGACGGCCTCTTCTTCCTTTAAGACACCAACTTTTGCCATGTGATACTTTATTTTGTTGGGAGGTTTTTCATCTTTTATTCCCTCAAATATGTCTTCATGACTGTCCTGGTTACTTATCACAAATCCATCAGCCTCAACCTCATCAGAGTTGTTTTTATCACCTTTTTGTGGACTTAAAAGTCCTTTATTTTCCTCCTCGATGCTAATATTTTCCTGCAGAGATGTTTCAGGTGATGTGAGATTTATTTTCTCTGGTTCTTTTCTGCTACTTTTTGAAACCATGTCCTTGGTTTTGTTGGGGTTTACATTGACAAACTCTTGTAATGGATTGTCTTTGCTCAGAGATCTGTTGAATTTTGTAACAGCCACAACTGTAGGAGTATCCTCATCTTTATTCACCTTTGTCATTTTGTTTCCACCCTCTTGGAGGCTGTGCTGCTCAGATTCTTCAACAACATGACCTGGCAGACTCTGAAACGGTTTGGAAGCTTTATCTGTTTCACTTGTTGGACTTGTTTCAGTTAAAAACTGTTCACATGTCTGCTCCAGTGGGCCAGCTGGGGTTTCTCTGTGGAGGTCAGAGGTCACTTTTGTTTCCTTTGCTATTTCCTGGAGATGCTCAGTCTCAGAGGGTGTTTGTGGATGGAGGAATTCTGTAACCAAAACAGCATGTACTGCAGCGAGACACTCTGACGCATCTCCTGAAAGGTTTTGTTGGTTTGAAGATGTATCTGTTCCACCAAGGTCTGGACTCTGCACTGTGTCTGCACAGTTTGCCACCAATTTGTCATTAAAAGTGGTGAAAATGGTATCAAAGGATTGTTTGTCTGAGTCCTGGCTCTCAGACTCACATATCTGCATATTGCTTGTGTTACTGCTGAACACCAGATGATTCCTCACAGCCACAGCGTCACTGAATGCAACACTGCTGCTCTGGCCAACGAGACCTTCCATACTCCCTGCTGCTGCATTTTTCATCCATGTAAAACTTAAGTTTGGATTCTGAGCCTTTGTAAGAACCTCTGTGGGAGCAGCCTGATCAGCTGAGCGCAGCGGCTTCTTTGGGATATCTGTGGCAACCTCGCCTGGGTCAGGTTTCTCCGGCCACTTGCTGCATATGTCTTTACGTGCTGCATTGCTGACAGGTTGGTCAGAACCAGATTCATCATTCTCCTGCTCACCTAAATGACTGTCCTCTGGGTTGTCCTCCTGAGTTTCCTGTTTTATTTCTGGAGGTGACTCGTCTCTGTTAGAGTCGCCTCCTCCATCTCTCTGAGTGAAGTGGTCTCTCACTCTGGCCATCCGTGCAGCTTTCCTCTGTCTTCGTCGGCTGCTGTTTGGTTTGCTCTCCACCTGTCCATCAACAGGGAGAGTTCAAATTTAGCACACAACAGTTCTGTTAAATCCACAAACAGTGGTCTGACACATGAAGCCAAGGTGTTACTACAAACTGCACAGGCTTGTGTTGCAGGAGAAGGCATGAGAACATCTGAGTCTGTGAGGAAGTGCAAACAGCAGATACAAAGTGTCCTTTAAAGACTCAGTGCATTATATTACTATGTTGCAGCTCAAGCTTAGGTTACATGACATTCCTGCAGAAAGGTCAGCAGGGGTCATATCTAGGTTTCTGCTCCTCATGTGTCCCAAAGCTCTCTACTTGTGCAAGTTTAGGACACAAGTCGGTGTCAAACTCCTGTTAGACGTGATTTAACTCACCAGTAGAGTCTGTTCCACTTCGTTTGGTTTATCCAACACAGATTCTGAGACTTTCTGAGCTTCCATTTGGTCTTCCAGCTGGGTTGTACATCCATCTGAAAGAAATGAAGCCGTTTATAATCACATTATTACGGCAACAATCATGAAAACACTTCATTTTTATTTGACACACAGCAAAAAGAAATATTCACCTGTTGAAATATTGTCCAGTGATGAAAATTGCTTTAGTGAAATGTTTTCCACAGTGGACACACTCTGGCTGTGGAGCAATCAAATTGAAACCAGTCAGGCTTTAGATCTTTACGCTCCAGATTTATTTATGTGTGTGCATATGTGTTTTCTTTCCAACACAACAGAACAAAGTGATAACTGAAACATAGCTAACGATGTGTTTTATTTAGCTCTTCACAAACTAAATTAGCAGCACATCAGAAACAAACACATTTTTTTGATGATTTCTTTTGGATAAACTGAACCCTGCCCACACTCAATGTCTCCTTTTGGGTGCTCCCTTCTTCAGGGGTCACCACAGAAAATGAACCCATGTAATATTTTGTAAATGTTTTATGGCAGTTGTCCTTTTTTCCATCTAACCTGCAGCCTCAGGATGATTAAACTGTGCCACTGACCACTGAGCAACAAACCCTGTCCATGCTACTTTTCTAAAAGGATATTTTTCATCTTTATTGAAACATTTCTGTCCACTTTACTCTCATGAAAATACTGTAATACTCATGTTGGGCCACTAGATGGTGAAAGTCAGTTCAATTCAGTTTATTTATATAGCGTCAAGTCCCCATAAATGTCATCTCAGGACACTACAGAAAAAAGTCTAAAGAAGTCAACAGACTGAGCTGAATTACTTCATCACAGTCTGCATCCTGAGCAGCACATTCGTGACACTGGAAAGAAAAAAAAACTCCCTTTTAACAGGAAGAAACCTCCAGCAGAACCAGAAACATACATCTGCCTCAAACGGCTGGGTTTGAGATGACAATAACAAAAATTATAAAATACAGAAAAGTAACCTTTTGAGCTTGGTTACAAATGATCCCAAAATTATTATTTTTTTATTTTTGATACAACTGTCTCTCAGTTGTTAAACACAATCAAAACTTCATGGTCAGGATAGGATCCAAATAAAGTGAGAGAGATGTAAAACAAACAGAAAGCAGCTTTGTTGTTGTTTCACTAATTGGCTGCTAAAACATCATTTTTGAACAAAAACTGTATTTTGAATCCTAAGGAGTCAATAAAAAACATGTTTTTAATCTTGACTTTGGAAAGAATTTTTGTCATTAAAATTTTCTGTTATTGTGTGAACAGGACAAACACTGAAATTCTTCATTTTTAGGCCACATCCACACACACTTTTTTCTTGTGCGTTTTTGGTAAAGAATTTTGTCCAAAAGGAACTTTTAATTGTGTTGCAATGATTAATAAATCAGAAAATATTAATTATATATGCAGTATATGTAGTTTGTAGAGAATCTTTAGTTTAGCCAGGATCTCTCTCTCTCTCTCTCTCTCTCTCTCTCTCTCTCTCTCTCTCTCTCTCTCTCTGTATTTAGTATTTAGATGTCATTGATGTGGATGTTTTTTGGGTATTGCAGTAATTTACTAAAAATCAAGTGGAGGCGAGTACAAACAAAAAAAGCAGCAGTGTAGCCTTAAAAATCAGTTGCAGTGTGGCTGGGTTTTAGTAAAACAATATAACTCAGTTTGTTTCCACCTACAAGAGCTTTGGTGGAGTTCTTTGCTCTGTACTCTGGATTAATGACTGATTGTACTTACTTTGTCAGAGCTCTAAAACAACCCCAGACTTGACTCTTTCACAATTTTTAAACTGAATTATTTTACATGTAAAAAGTACAAACAGAATCAAACTCAAACAAGTAAAAAATTCCCGTCATTAAACCACCTTTTGTCCTTACTTGACAGTCTTCAGGCAGCTTTTCTTGTTTACATTTTCCCTTTGTCCCCTCTCCTTCTCCTCCTTCCTTCCTTGGTAACAGAGCAGCACATAGTTTTTGTTGTCATTGTTGGCCCAAAATGTCCCAACAGGAGTTTCGTACCGCAAACAAAAGTCTACTCTGGTTCCCTGGTCTCCAAATGGAGGCACTAAGGTGAGTTTAAACAAGAAGGAATCGGTCACACCGTCACTGGAATCAGGGATGTACTCTGCCAGAAGGTCAAAGTGGTTGCACCAGTTGTCAAAAGTAGTTCGGACAAAGACTGACTTACTGTAGGAGATGTTAAGAACTCGGATCACACCTTTGAGTATTGCAGTCCCTGGAAGTAGCTCAATTGTTTCTAGCTCTATTTTTTGCTCCCGAACTCGAGCGGACAGCTCATCAGATGACAGGGAGAAGGTTAAAGGTGAGAGGTAATATTCTGAAACGCTCGTATCATCAGCTGCTGCAGAGTCAAATCCTGGTCGTTTTGGTACGTCCCTTGTATCAAACTCCTTCACCTGAACCAGACTGAGACCTTTGGCATCCGCAAAGGACACTCTCCTGGAGCCACAGAGAGACGGAGGCTCAGGCTCTGAGTCTTCGTCCGTGAACGAGGACTTTCTTGTTGGGACAGGAGAGGATTTGGGTCTGATGCCGATCACAATGTTGCCCTCATCCTCGTCCAGGTCCAAGGATCTGAGACCCGGGACTGCTAGGAGGTTGCAGGTCTCAGAGGGTCTTGGCCGCCCTACAAACTCCATGAAGCTCTGCGCGAGAGTCAGCAGGAAACTGTGCTGCTTCTGCTTCTGACAGCTGGCATTCAGCATGCTCTGACTTAACAGACGGAGTCGAGTTACAGAGGACATTGTTGTGAGGGCCAGCACTATAAATAGGCCAGAAGGGACATAAACTATCTAAAGTCATCTCAGCTCAGAAGGAGGACACACTGACCGCTTGCCTCTAAATACTGAGTTCTTCTAATCTGAACTACAGTTTGTTTCCTCACTTTTTAAAAACAACCCTTAAACAGATCCTTTTGTTGTGGAAATCTCCTCATTTTTGCCAAAAGAGCTGAAATACCAACACAAAAGTTAACACAGCAGCTATTTGTGTCTTGTTTCTGTCCCACGGTGGGACAAAATCACATGAGGTTTGGATTCATGACTATTTTAAACTGTTCAAGTACAAATTAAAGCAGCTCATCTGTTCTATGAGCAACCCTGGAGTGTTAGAAGTGCTGTGAAAAGTCCTCCATTTGAGGAGATGACTCCTCAAATGGCTCCCTGTGCATTTGAGGAGTCATTTTAAAATTTTRGTTTTAACTTTCAGAGCACTTCATGGTCAGGCCCCCAAATACATACTGGACCTTCTGAAGCCTCTCTGTCCATCCAGGACATTGAGGTCTTCAATCAAATGCTGCTGGTGGTCCCTCGAACCCATTATAAAACCAGTGGAGACAAAGCTTTTCAGGTGGTGGTCCCGAGGCTCTGGAACCTCCCTCTGTCCCTTCGCTGTTCAGATTCTACTGACTCTTTAAAGAAACATCTTAAGACATTTTTATTCAGACAAGCTTTTAGTTAATGCTTTTTACTGTGTTTTAATTGTTGTTTTTTATATTTGTGATCTGTTTTATTGCTATTTTTAGTTATTTTGCTGTCTGTTATGCACTTTGTGATGTTTGTGTCTGTGAAAGGTGCTATAAAAATAAAGTTTACTTACTTACTTACTTACTTACTTACTTACTTACTTACTT